GGATTAATTTTTTTTTCTCTTGGTATGTGCATGTTTGTGAAAGTCTTCAGGAAACCCAGTTAAAAAAACTAAACACAAACATTGTGATCTACATTGTTACTGAGAACCGATGAAACATTTTTAGGCCTCTTTTGGGTATAAATCTTCAAACCAGGGTTTAGTTCTCCCATGTAACCTTGGCTTAAATGTGAGGAGTAAACATGTTTATGTCATGCTTCTAAGCTACAATCAGTTCTTGCAACATCCACATTTTATTGCATACTAGCCTTTCTTATTACTTCCAGCCTGGGAACTGCAACAGAAATTTAAAAAAATGTACCCTAGGCTACTGAAGCACAACCACCATTTCCAAGTTCACAGCTTCAGCACAACTCAGATCCAGTAAGCCACACTAGTAACTTTGTTTAATCAAAGGGAGGAAAGAAAACGGAAACAAAATATTATAGGAAGACATCTGCCATTACTTGTCACACAGACTGGGCATGCTTGCCCCCAGCACTGGCAATCACAATGCTGAGCAGCACAGGGCTCAGATACTTTCTGTTGCTTGGAGCCCAGGATGTCACAGCCCCTCTCTCCTCTTACAGACAGGCCAGATAGGTGCAGCTCAGCCTCCTGGGAGCCTGTCTGATAATGATGTGAGAGAAAAGCTGTGAGGATGAAAGTGTGAAGCACAACCCAGGGGGTCTCTTCTCTTCAAGCTCTTGTGGTTCATTTGTGAAAAGGTCTCATGGCTCCCGAGGGGTAACCAGGGATTCTTGACAAGACTCCTTCCCCTGGGCCTCAGGCATTTGGTGTGAAGAAACACCTCTGGGAGGGGAGCCATCTAATTCTCTCAGTTACATGCCTTTAGGTACCAACTTAACTGCATGTTTGCTTCCCTGCATGCTCTGGCTCAAAAAGAAAAGATTTCAAGAATGCTAGACAAGCAAATTCCTCTGCCTGTTTTAAGATTTCCCCTGCAAGGGCCTGACGGAATGCTGGAGATGCTAAACTGCAGAGTTGCTTCAAATAGGCTGCCACAGCTCCCTATATTGGGTACCTCCAGCAAACAGTCTTGGGGCACTGTGCTACAACTTTCTTGTCAAATAGATTTCAGGTACCTAACTGAGTCTCTTCCTTTTTTGCCTTTGAAACAGACATGCTTGCTTTACTCTGGCTTGCTGTGGGCAAACACCGAGGGCTCTCGTGGGCCAGAAATGCCATCAAATTTCAATTGCAATTCCTATAAAAAGGCCTCAGCTAAATAGTTATGTACACAATGTGAAACCTAATGTCAGTGAATTCAACTGAAAAAAAAAATCCAACAAAACAAACCAAAACCAATCTAAAGTCGAGGTGAGGAAACAGAGGCAGAGAAAACCTTCCCCTTTGGTGACTGCTAGCATAGTCAGAGATGATGACGGAACCTGGACAATTCCAGTGGAAAAATTCTGAGTGTGTCTTTCTCTGCAAGTTGTATTAATAAAAAAACTCAAATGAGCACTTTAATAACAGCAACTCAGAGCTCTGAAAGCCCCAAACAGGCACTAGTCTGAAAACAAATAATTACAAAAGACTACAGACAGTATTGCTTGAGGAGCCAGGGATGACAGTGGATATCTCAATGGAACAATTAGCATGACACAACATCAGTCTGTTATTATTCAGGCAGGCTAATTTTCAGACTCTTTATTTTCTTCTGAATACATGATTAATGCCTCCCTCTTACAGAACATTTGTGTGTTCTACTCTGAGTATTAAGACAGTGCTTGCCCCACATACACAGCTGAAGTGGTCCAGTCAAAGTGTGAGTTAAGGGGAGCAAATGACAGAGCCCTGCTGTCCCACCCAACCCCAAAGCCAGCCCCAGAACACAACTGCCTACTCCCACCACATTTCACCCTTGCACGGGCATTGTGATGTGAAAGGGAACAGTAATTTTGCTGGGAAGCTGCAGAGCTCACCTTGCAAGCTCGGTAGAGGTACTTTTTGTCCTGAGTTAGGTTATAGAGAGACAAGAAGGAGTAGCCATTGCCAGCAGTACCATGGCAGATCCCGTATCCTTTCCTCAATAAACCTCTCTGCCAGATGACATCGCTACACTCCATTGCATCTTTCAAGTATTTATCCTCTTTAAAAACCTGTGCAATAAAAACAGAGAACAAACAAACATAAATTGAAGTACTAAAGAAAACAAAAGGAAGCTGCACCTGAGAGGTGTTTCGCTGTGGTGTGGTGTTTTTTTCAGGTAAAATTTATTTTGAATGTTAATAATCCATTCCTCATAGACTTGCTTTTCTTACTAAGTTGTTTCTTCTTTCCCTTGCGTGGAAAAAGAAAGAACTTCCCAAGTTTTTGTTTCTCTGAAATCAGGACCCCAAAGGTAAAACTCAAGTTCAAGGCCTTTGGTTCTACAACCTATAATCTATTTGAAGGGTACATGGTCCTTTTTTCTTCATCCTCCATTCCTAAACCTGAATCTGAAAATACAGAAATGAAATTCCGCCGCCTCCGAGAAATGTAACACAGAACACTGGACATCAAGATCCAACCTGAAAGGGCTATGTCCTGGTCTTCCTGAGTAATTCTTCCTGGTTACTCATTGACTGCCTTAATCCCATGTCAAAAATGCACAAGAATATCTCCTCGCATAGCACAGGACTTTTTCCTCTGTCACAGTACAAGCAGGAACACTACACTGCCTTGATGAGTACTTCTGTTAGTATTAGTATGCACTCAGAAGCAGTAGCCAGTTTGAGTAAAAGACCAGTTTTGCAAAATTTATTGCGACTGAAGTGCATTTTGGACACAGAGAGCCCTTCCAGAAGGCAGCAAACAGGAGCAAGTAATTTAGCTGAACACTACCAGAATTCCACCTTTATAAAGCCACTTTTTTTGCTCACCTTTGCCTCAGTCATTCTACAGATCAACAAAACAAAGAAATGCACCCCCCTAAAAAAATCCAACAGAAAAACCACAACAAAACAAATGTGATGCACTACTGTAGACTTAGTCCTTTGGAGATGGCATCCCCAATCAAACTGTTTAATAAGGTAATAGAAGCAATTAAATGTAAGATTCTTAAATCCACAAGCTTGATAAAGAAGTCCCTCTCTCTGAAGAGGGTTTCTCAGCTACTTAACTGTAACATTGCAAATTAAGGCCTGGCAACACCATTTGATTTCCAGGACAAACACTGCTATCTGTTATTGCAAGTCCCTGTGCTTGGTATGAAAGTATAGCCAGCAAAACATACAGTTTTGTCTTTCACTGCTTCGAAAAGCAGAATGCAAAGAGTAAAAGAAAACCATCATATGCTCCATCACCTTAAAAAACGAAGAGGTAAAAAAAGAGACTGCTAAACAGAACTTGGTCTTACCCCTCCTACCTCCTGCAAAATGTTTTGTGCTGGGGAAAGCATCACACTGTAGAAGGAGTAAGGGAGGAAGCCTGCAGTGTTAAATCAATCTCCTACCATAGCCCAAAGAAAAAGCGACTGTGACTACTGCTACACGCAGCAACGCAGTAAGAGATTTACAGTTCACATTTCAAGTAGCAGCATGAGCAATTATTCTATAAACCAAGCCTGCTTTTCATCAGCCCACCCAGAGGCTGACCAGGGAGTCTGTCGAGGAGGGTTGTCAAAAGCAAGAATCAATTTGCATAAATTTAATTAAATGGCATACTTTCAAATGTCATGCAAATCAGAAACACACAAGACGAGAGAGGTAGCAAACCTAGTTAAGAATGGAGAAGGGCAAACAGTAGGCTTGTGGAAGCTCAGTGGTTATATTTATGCCCTAGAAGGGGCCTGGGATCTTTGCTCTGACATTAAGTTTTCAAGAGATATAGCTAAATAATGAAGAAATTTATGGAAGACATTCTTTGGCAAGTCACATGAACCTATACTTTTGAAAACCAACATAATTGTTAAAACTCTTGGGATGAAGATTCAAAGAATTTAGGTCAACGTTCTCACACCCATGACTATGACGCCAAATTGTTTAAATACACGGCCCTTTTCCAAAAAAGCCCAAAGTCTAGTAACCACTGGTGCCCTGAGAAGCAATTTCACCCAGTTGTTTTCTCTTCACAAACATACCAATGTAAATATTTTGAGATTTTTAGGTGCCTAGCCTAAGGGTCTAGTTTAAAAGACTACCTCTAAAAATACATTAAATTATTACAATCTAAGAGGCCTGCATACAGGTGTCTCTGTAAAAACAGAGGTCTCCCTCTCTATATATACATATATTAGACCATGGTGCTAATAACACCAAGGCTGTGGGTTTGATCCCTGCATGGGGCATTCACTCAAGAGTTGTACTTGATGATCCTTGTGGGTTCCCTCCAACTCGGAATATTCTGTGAAATCTGTGAACACAGAATGATTCACCTTATAAGCTTGCATGAGCATGTGGATGACTCCAGGGGCACCGTGGCACCAGTGGACCAGTCTGTCAGTCTCGTTGCTCAGCGATGACGGGTAATTCCCAGATCGGAATTTTTTATGACGCACGTAGTCGATGCTTGGCTTCACCAGCTCTGCCAGGGTCTCCTGGTCCACGTTTGCAATTGGCTAAAGAAAACATTAAAAAACCGATCACCAAACCCAAAAGCAGAAGCAGTTAACAAACTGTGTATCAGCACTTAATTCTACGATCTATTTTCAAGTATCCTATATATGTGCCCTTGATCCAAATACTGTGAATCACTTCATACAGATTTAATTAATGTCTGCTTATAATACCCTTGTGAAGAACATTTTTTATAGTTACTGCAGAGACAAAGAAATTGGGGCACCGAGTTGTTACCTGTCTTACTGGATGTGACACAGAAAGTCTATGGAAGAACTGGGAACAGAATATGGATTTCAAGACTCCCAGGCCTCTCTTTATACCTTATAACAGGGAGAACAATTACAGGAGAAAGATGGGTTTTATAGCTATGGTGCTAATAATACACAGTTGAAACAAAGCAGGTTACACATCTAGTCTTAAATGTTGTATTTCCCAACAAACAAAGTGTATATAGCAGCATATCTGGCAAAGATTTATGAAGGTTGAAGTTTTCCATCATAAACAAAACTCCTTGAAGCTAAAATGCAATAGCTACCTCACCAGGTACCTAAGCATGTTTGCATTACAATCTCATCCTTCAATTGCTCTTCTGATTTTCTATCTATTTTTTTTTTATTTAACTCACATACTTGCCAAATGGAGAATATATCCATCAACATGCATGCTCCTTGTAACTAAAGGTTTAGAAGCCAAGTAACTGTCTGCAGTTGTTCTTTGCTGGCATTCCCTCTACCAGCAGCCCATGGTACAGCACTTTAATAGTAGAGCGCTCTATTTTTACACAATCCACATGATTTCTGGACCTGTGAATTGTGGGAACAACCACAGACACTGAAGCCTACAGGAGCCTAATAACTGAGCATATTTTTTTAAATAATTTGTCTTTATTGCTGATTCAATGTGATCCAATTTCATTTTTTCCCCACCAGCCTCAATCCATTTGCATTCAACAGGTGAGCACAGTCCTACAATTGAAAGTCTGACAGCCAAATGAAGGAAAATTTTCAGTAGCTCTGTTTTGAGTAAGCTGGAGAAACCAAAAGCATCTACTTCACCTCAGCGAGGAAACCTTTGCCAGACTTCCATCTATCAGGTCCCTCAAGCAGATGACTCCATCTCTGCACTTTTCTGAATGGAACAATGATATGCAAACAGACATTTTTGCCTCAGTGTTAGTGAAAGGGAGTAGAGACTCCCTAGCAAGCACTTCAGAATTTCTCCTTTACCTCCTGGATGAGTTATTTAACACAGATAAGCTCTTATTCTTCCAGTAATCTTTGAGTAACTCCAGCAATACATATTTCCTCATATAGGTGTTGTACAGAAATTACAATCAGTGACCTTCACATCTTAGGTGCTATGTTAAACACCCTTTTTTAGTTATCAAATAACCACTCAACAAACCATCTCCTGAATTCTTTGCTGAAAATACAGCAAAATTCTCCTCATCTGGCGTGGGAGGGATGGGGAAAGGATGGAACTCTGATATGCCATCTTCTTCTGCAGTGGATGACTCAACTTTGGATGACTCACAATATTTAACATACAGTGAAAAGATGGTAATCTAATGCTGCATAAACAATGGCTTTCTGGTAATTCTTAAAAGCAGCAATTAAATGTAAAGGAAAAATAGTTATGATTTTCATATGCAGACACACTAGCTTCTGCTCTTATCAAAAAGCACTGTGCAATTATTTCTGCTATCATCCTTGAATAGTAAAGGAAGGATAGAGCCTTTAAAGAGTCTCCTTTAAAGGACTGGATGTTTCTCAGAAAATCTAGAAGGAAAAATGGAAGCCAGAAAGATGAGGGAGCCGGAAGGGGGTGGACAGCCTTGCTGAAGAAAGTGGTAGGTAAAGACAAGAGCACAGTAAATCAGAGCAGCCTGAGGCCCCAGTGTGATGGTTACTGCAGAAAATGTCTGTCCTGAGTTTAAGACATGGCCCCAGGTAGCAGAGCAGTAACTACTTCCACAGCAAAGTCAGCCGCTTTAACTGGAACAAGTGGTGGAAGTGGTGCGAGCTGATGTGAAACAGATGGGGAGAACTCACAGCATCTGCTCCAAGTGAGGAACGTTTGAGTAGTGGCAACACCAAATGCCAGCTCGGTCCCTTCTGCACTGAACGTGTGCACACAGCTCCAGGGTGCGAGGAGGTACAGTCCTTTCACTTACCCAGAAAGTCATTCTGTGGGCGCTGGTAAGGAAATGGACATTTACAAAGATGCACAAACTGGCAGCGCCTTTGAAAACCAGAAACACAAATTTTGCAGCTCTACGGCCATCTTCTATAATGAATCTTAAGGCTCGTTTTCCAGATCACAGAACAGAAATAAGAAAAACATAATAATCCTACTGGAGAATCGCAGGGCAGGGGGGAATTGATTTAAGCGTGAGAAAGAGGAGGTATACAGAGGAGAGGAATCACGACAAGAGGAAGAGAAGAGAAGAAGAGCAGGGGTCATAAATACACTAAGGAACATCAGACAAATCGTGTGAGAAATAAGGGAGATAAGAAAGAAGAAAAACATCTAAATAATAAAAGCCTTCTGAAGACTAATCTGTGATTAAGGACAGTCTTCAAAAGCATCAAGAAAATAGCGGGGAAAAAAAATCACTAGAGAAGAGGGGAAGGGCATGAAGGACTGGAGGCACCAGTGGTGCACTCATTTAAAAATAGCAAAAAAATTGAAGAGTGATGGATGGTAAGTGAATATTTAGCTGGTCTAACTGCAGGCACCAGAAGAAGTAATTACAAAGATGAGAGAAAGCACCTCACTGTCTCCACTGAGAACAAGAAACCAGATCCTGGAAAGCTGGTGCTCTGAACCACAACTCAAGAGTTAATTCACTCTAATGTGTGGATACCCTAGGCAGTTTTCTTCTGCTATCAAAGCCTGAGGCAGCACCTCTGCACAGCTCTGTGCTGTGAGACCCTGACCCAGCACAACACTGCACATGCATGAAAGCTGAAGAAAATATCCTCTGATGCAAAACAAGAAACCACTGCTGTTTCAACGCCGCCCACAGAAGATGCTCTTACCTGCATGAGCATGTAATAGATCCCAGCCACTCCATGGGCTGCTCCAACATACTGCTTCCTGTGCCACTGGTACAGCAGAGGGCAGCGGTCTGTTTTGCGCTCCTCCTTTGAAAAGTTTTTCCCCGATTCAATAATAGCATCTATCACCTAAAAAAAAACACACCTCATCTATCAGTCTCACTTACTCATTTAAACACTTCCACACTTCTGTCTTAAGGTTTCTTGTAACAATGTCTCATCCTCAAATGCTCCAAAACTAGTTACATATTAGATGTATTTCCATGGATGGAAGTGGACCCACCCACACTAGCCTGTGTCGGTCCTAGCTGGGCAGCAGGGAAAGGGGGAAGAGATTGGATGCACAGATGAGACTGGGTTCCCAGTTCTAGGTCCCTCTCCTCTCCAGCACCCCTCTCTTAATCCCTAGAATTATGCAAGGGAGTGATCCCAGTTCAACCTCACTGATGCTGTGATGCTGGAGAGAGAAAAGTATCGTACCTCTTTGATAACAGACTGTGGGACAGTGTCTGGACCAATTTCAGTATTCAGGTACAGCAAGGCATACAGGTAACCTGCTCTGCCATAAAGCAGCTCATCTGGAAGTTCAGCCTCTGTGCTTATGACTGTCCTTTGGAGTTGCAACAACCTGCATCAGACAAGGAAGTGGGGAAAGAGAGTATCTTGTGTAGAGACCATACAGGACAGTGCATTGCAGAAGCCATCAATCAAACCAGAAGCAGAAGGAGCCGTGAAGCCCTACCACTTCCCCTTCAGTCATCCCCAGGTTCAGCTGGCTGCCAGGGTTACACACAGGAGCTCTGCATGCCTGCCACCCCTGAGACAGGAAACTGAGCCAGAGCTAGGTCACTGTTAGGAAAATTGTCAGGTTTTTGTGCAGATAGAAACAGATGTATGAGTGCAGGGTAGGGGCTGGAGGAGGCTGGAGAGCCACTCCAACAAAGAAACCTCCTGGAGTCTCTGAGAATTTCACCCAAGGGAGGAACCCTTAGGTGTAGATGTGTAAGAGGGGAAAAAGCAAACACACAGAAACATCCCATACCACCATTCAGCACTCCCTCTAACAAGACAACACATTGTCTCAAACAGTTAGCACCCCAGTTTTGAAAAGGACACTACTATTATGCACTAGTGTTTTGCTTGCTTTTAGCAATGAAAAAAAACAACAAAAAAAAAACCATAAAAAATCCCACCAAAAAACCCACAACAAAAAACCAAACCAAGCCAAAACAAAAAAACCCAACCAAACAAAAAAACACCCTTGGGCTGGACATGACAACTCTCATTTTCTCCAAAGAGACTCTCTGCTAATACTCCACCAGTCTGCATTAGCACCGAGGTGGATCAGAGATCTGTTTTCCTGTCCACTCCCTCCCTGTCTCTTCCTATCTTTTGTGATTAAATTGGTAATTAGATGAAACCATGGCAATGACAACATTTTAAATTGTGGGAGGGGGAAAGACAATCTGAATTAAGACCAAATTCAATTCCCAGATCCCCCAGCCGCTATTTCTAGTCAGAAATGTTAGCATTAATGTCACACCAGAGCAAAACCACTGACCTCAATTGTGTGTTTATGCTGTCACTGCTTAATACCACAGAAAAGGCATTCACAAAAAAAAAAGGGGTTATATTATCATTCCTTTCTTGGAATTATGCTTTGGACTTAGAATTCAGTTCTTTTCTTCTAAACTGTCCACTGTTAAATTTTATTGTTGAAATCATACAACTGGACAGCTTGTAGTTAAAAGTGAAATCCTAGATTACATTTCAACATCTGCACTGCACCACTCAACTGGTGTCATATTTGTAAACAAAAAAGGAATAAAATACACAAATAATCAAACTAAACTCCTTTTTACTACTCCTCCTAAAAATTACTTTCCAAGGTGAGGTGAGACAAAGATTTATTGCTAATCTCATTTTGCTATACCCATGCTTCATACCTGACGACAAGACCGCTTTCCAAGCTGCATCCAAAATGACAAGCCCAAGTTTACTGCCAGTTCTAAAAGCAAAAAGCCCCAAACCTAACACTCATTTCAAAATTGAAATATCCGTTCAGGAACAGCAGCAGAGATTAATCACGGTAGGATTCTAGCTTAGAAAGAGACCAATTACATTTCCAAATATAAACCAGAATGGAGATGAGGACATAAGCCTAGTCACAAATTCTATCAGCCGAAGGTACATGGCTGGACAAACTAGCAGGTGGATTGCTGGGGCCGAATGCAAATCCCACAACGTTCCAGTGCTTCCGGCCCTTGCTGGGAAAACGATCAGCTCTGTACCAGCAAAGAACAGTCAGTTCTGTAATGAAGGTAGATCTAAATGGGATTGCTTGTTACATTTGTTACATTTAGAGAACTTCGAGAAGGTGCTGAAATTTTTTGAGGTAACCTTCATATGTTCTGACCTAATTAAAACCCTTGCCTTTACAAATTTGCCCTTGCATATACTTCCTCTTTATTAAATCTTTGTTACATATCAATTCAATGTAATGTGTTTCTGTCTGCTTGTTTCCAGGTCCCGCTGTGTACACGTTTTGTAATGGATCTAAAATTAAGACCTACTCTTTAGAGGAAGCATCACATACTGCACAAGCGCTACATATTGCTGATGACAAGCGTGTGGCTTTTGCTAAATGCCACTTCAATGTGACAAAATGAAAACGTGTGTGCACTACAGATACGCCCAGGACATCCTGTCCTAACAGTGATAGAGAGTTCGAGATAACCTGCTAAACATGAATCAAGTGTAAGCCAGCTTTGATAAAGATAAAGCCTATTTTGTATTCTTCTACTCAAAATGTATCATGGTAAAAGTGTCTCTGTTTTTTAATCCTGTCCTCTAAAACTCCACTTGCAGAAGTTACTGAAACAATGTTCTCTACAAACAAAGGGCATGGCTTTTTCCACCGTTAACCACTTACTTGGCAACACATTCTTTAGATTCACTGTCGTTTTTCAGTTTGTGGTAAACCACTGCACCCACTGCCAATGGCCCAGCATCACCACAGAGGAAAGTAACTCTTCTGCCGTTCAAATTGCGAAGGATTCTCTTCACATAATCAAGAGATCGCTGCAAATGGCTCTGGTTTTTCGTGACGCGGTACAGTTGCAGATAAAGGAGGGCGATACCTGAAACAACAACATGAAAAAGAGATAGTTTCACTTACATTTCCTTCTAAGCCTATCATATTCCCCTCTCTGGTGCCTCTGAAGCAGCTACTCAAATATGAACAGGTATTTGGGAAACAAAAACACATCAGTCAAGGGTCTTAGCTTACGGAATGTTAAGGCATCAGGTCATCTATTTTGATTAAATTTTGATCTGGATTGTAGCAAAAATAAAAAAAATTATCAGACTGAAGTCCAACGGTAGACTCACAATTAGCAGAAAAAGAAGAAAAATCATGACACAGGCCTCAATGCTTGGGAAAGAAATCACTGTAAGATTCAAAACCTTGAGCTAACAAGCATGTGTATGACTGGCTACTCTAATTGTACAATTCTCATCTATCATATATGCAAGAAGTGACTTCCCATTTGATTTTAAAATGATCTTTCCATGAGTCTTTGGATTCTACTTGCCACATTCTTTATAACCCTTAAAAGTATTTCGCAGGAAGACCATCAGCTTGTACAAGTCAAGCTGGTTTGTAAAAGCCAGAAGGCAAACAAGCGCTTGGAGAATGCCAGGAGGTTCTATCAAGCTTGACTCCATTAAACTCATTACATAGTTTTCCATTAAAAAACCCACAAAATCCTTAAAAATTGCAACAATGCAGACTGAAGAAAGTGAAACAAACCCATCTAGGTGGATGTCTATTGGCCAACTGCAAGCATGCATGTGCAGAAGTAAATCACCTCCAGACCACACTGTAACTCAAACCCATTTCAACCTTAGCCTCAGCTAAAGCCAAGTACACACAAGGCCCAAATAGCTCACACGGAGGAAACTGAGTAGTACAAGAACAACAGCACCACAGGAGTGCTGATACATTCTCAGATGTTCCCTGGACTGGTTCTGAACAAGTCTATCTAGATGAGTCCAAGAAGAAAGCTGCAGAGCTGGGGAGCCCAACTCAGTGTCACAGGAACTTGTGGGCAACTTACAAGGATTTGTGGAACCCTTTCTTGTGTTGCAAGAAATGTAGGCTTGATCAAAGGATGATCAGAAAAGGAGCCATGAAGTTTCAGTTCATCCAAATCTTCCTAGTGTTTCTTAGTGGAACACCTTTAAAATGGCTTCTCCTCTTGGCACACACAAAGGGTACTTGTATAAGCAAGATGGACACTTACATGGGTCCTACAATTGCCAACAGTACGTGTTCCCAGATTTTAAAGGTGTTTCACAAAGTACAAGCTGGTGCACGGGACTGCACTGCCCGTAAGATTTGCCTAGACTTGGTACATAAAAGCAGGGCAGCTGCTTCTACCTTCTGATTTGCAGACTAGCAAAATGCTGCAAAGAGCAAGTTTGGGGAGGAAGTGTTTTCAATATGTATTTTTTAAAGCCAGATAATTTAAACATTTTTATTCAGAACCATATCCACAGGAGCCCTGAACGAAGTTCACAGCTCGGAATAGATGTAGATAGCAATCCTTCTACAGGATGGAAAAACCCCACTCTCAGGAGGCGACGTTACTTGTTCATCTATATTCTTGCTTCAGCTAATGATGGCCGTGTTACTTTTGCCTTATGACTCATTTTCAGCATGCTCTGGCTTATCAGCCATAATTTCAGTTGTCAATCACAGTGTCAGAACACAGCTCCCCGGGAGCCGTTTCGTACTGTCAGAGCGAGAAAGCCCACCACTGGAGATCTTCTGCACTCACTTAGCAGCCACTCGCTTTCAGACCTCGAAATACATCTACCTTTTAAGCCTGAGTTGTCTAAAACTTCCCCACCCACCCACCCACAGCACCATCTGTACTGAACCATCAAGAAGAAAGCAAAGAAATTTTACCCTTTCACTGCCAGAATTAAGCCTAAGGATGGGCAAAGGCTGGAGAGCTTTTCCAAGCTACTCCCCCTCATGACATAAAGATAAAAGAATAGATCTCCTCAGGGCACATTTCAAACATGCTGTGCTAAAAGCGTAAGTATGCCTGAAGTGTGAGCTAGAAGAGCAGCTAGAAGAGAATAAGCCATTCATTCCAACAAAATCACACTTAAGAGGCCTAGATGGAAAAGCATTTTGGCAACTTGAAGAACAGTGGCCACATCAGACTTGAAAACCTAACTAATAATCAGTTGAACAGAAAATGGTGAAAAATAACTATTTTTAAACCCCCCCCAAAAAAAACAAACTTAAAGAAACAAGAGGTAAACTGAAAGAAAGAGCAGGAAAAGTGAGCAGCCCTAGAAAATCCACTCCTTCTGCAAGACAAAGATCTCCAGGCACAAAAGTAAATTATCGCAATGTAACTTTGTCTGCTGAAGTCAATGGAAGTCATTCATTCCAGACAGCAGTGACCAAGGGTCCAGAGTTAAACAAAAAACCAACTCACCAAATGCTCGTATCAGAGTGTTTCTGCCACTCCTGTGAGAACATTAGATTTTTCTCCTGTTAATAAACCCAATTACATCATTCAACAAATACACTTCAATCAAATCCTAGCTTTCTCACCAGTCCAGCCAGTATAGGCAGAGCAGTCATGTGGATCTGCCGTCTTCAGCCCTTCCTCCATTTGTTGCAGAAGGTCTTTAATTTTAGCCTGGATCCGTTTAGAGAACCGAGCATTGACCTGAAAACAGGAGACAGGGAATGAGTCAAAAAAGGAATTTAAACTGCTTCACTTTCTTGTTTGAGGAAAAAAAACCCAAAAAACAACCAAACCCCAAACCAATGAACCAAAAAAAGAACTAGGGAATAAATACCCTACATACAGTAATCAGTAACATCAAGGTGGTTCACCTTAAGCATATCCCACAGAAATGCACTCTGACTACATATTAGAGTAAGTTACTAGGATCTACATTAGACAAAAATTATCAGGGGAGGCTTTAAAGTCACACAAAGAGCAGCTATGGACACTGTGACAGTATGCAATTCTACTCTGCCTCTTATCTCAGGCCCTTAATACAGTAAAGAAAGCTTCTTTGAACTGAGTAAAGGTGAATAGAAGCAAACAGAAGACAACCATCTGCTGCCACTCCATGGGACAGTACTCCATTCAGGGTCCTGGTACCAAGACCACATTATGGACAAACACAGCACAAGCCCTGTGTGTTATAGGTGCTTGCTCTCATCTCAAGGTGCCTGCACATCCTTTGTGGCACGACAAAGGGGGAAATAGCTAAAGGAAAATAAATGCTCATACTCGAGACAATCAAGTCGAACTCAAGCCATCATTTTTAATGATGTGCTCAACCACATAATCTATGATGTAGACACATTTTCTTCTTAAATACAACTTTTTTTGATGTCACAGTTTGTGACCGCCACACAGAAGTCGAGTTGCCTAAATGTCCTTCCTCCTACTTCTTGCTGTCTTTCCTATCCAAAACCATATTGGGACCGACATGCTTTATCACGAGGAGGTTGTTCAACGCAGTGATGTGTTAATGCACAGCTACAAAAGAGCTAAACACAAAGAGGGTGAGTAAAATCAGCTCAGCAGTTTTAGCTCATGTGTGAAGTGCGCTGCTTGCTTTTAATTTTGACCAAGAAAAGTTTATATAGATGATACACATGCAATATAATAGAGAGATACTTTACTCTCGCCAACATTTCTCTCTCATGATGCATACTTCAGGGGAAGATAAGCAATGGATTACTCCTTTAAGCCTATGGTAAATGGAAATAGTTAATTAACTTGAATCTACTGTCCTATTAACTTCCATGAGAAAGAGTATTCATGAAGTCCCTTCACAGGACAACTCTACATTTGAGTGGGCACACCAGGGACAGCGATCAAACCTGTTTGGGAGTTTTTTCAGTTAGGTTTGGGTTTTTTTTAAAATTTAACTGTATGACCTGTTGATCAGCTTTACCTATTAACACATTTATTAAAAACTACTTTATAGATTAAAATAGAGCCTAAGGGGTAGTTTTACTTATAGCTACTGTTTCCTGAACAGTGTTTGATCTCCTTCCACCTCTTGCTTCTCTAGCCTGCTCCCATGCAGCAGCTGGAACAAATCAGATTGGAGAAGACTTTGATGTTAAACACATCTACGTTTATAATTTTTCCACTGGAGAAAGAGAAAATAGCTCACTAGTAAGGTAAGCTCATGCTTGATTGCAACAGATCCCAAAAGTGAAGGGTTCAGATAAATGAGAGGTCCTGGATGCCACCATACAATTGATTACTCAGAATGTACCACATTTTGTAAATCTATTAAGAGCAGAACTTCAAATAAAAATCAGTGATTTCAAACAACCATCCAACAGATTCAGAGACCAGAAGGAAAATAGGAATTGCACAAGGCTTCTGACACAGCAGAAGTCTCCAGGGTCAATGGTTCAAATCCATTTTATGGTGGTAAAATAGGAAGGGAGAAGGAAACTTTGCTATCTCACACTGCACACATACCACCCTAGAAACAAGCTAGAGACCCCTTTAACCTTCTCCAATAACCCTGGAAATAGCAACCAACCACAGTAGGCATCTGAGGCCGTTTACTCTTCTTCATTCTTAATATGGCGTGAAGCACTGTTTTGTTAGGAAACTGTACCACACACACACACAACACTCCCACACCCACACTCTTGACTAGTTCAGTGAAGCCTCAACACAAAGCAAAACCTTTCCCAAGGGCAGGGCTTCTCTCCTTCAAAAGACAGTTATGCCAATGCCAAGGCATATGGTGAAACAGCATGAGGATATTCATGCGGATGCATCGAGTGCTCAGCTTATCTGACAAGGGCAAACTAAGGCTTCAGACTCCCTGTTTATTTACCTACTGCACATCACAAGCAGGCCGGTTATCTTTTTGTTCTGACAATATACCTGCTGTTACCAAATCAGCATATTTTATATTTAACACCAGATTAAATTGCTTAGAGGCAGGAGGGGAGTACTAGGACATCACGATGCCTGGGTTCTGCTTTGAAACCGCAGTCCCATACAAATAATTTAGCTCAGGTTGGCATATCCCCCCCCTAAGATGGGAACTGTACCAACAGCTTGGAAAAACACAGATGAAGGATATTTTTATTATTATCATAATTATCTGTCATCCCAAACAAAGCTATTCCCAAGCTTATGTCAGTGTAAAAAAGTTTTAAGTGACAACAAAGTTTTCCCCAGTTATCTACCCCTCCACCACTGCCTCTTTTTTTTTTTTGGTTGCTCTGAAGCTTTGACAACCAAGCACTGTCACTGTTTGTCTCATAAGTATCAACAGATGCTTACATGGACTAAAATAAATTAATTACCCAAAGAATTGAACGTTGAAAGGCGGCTTTAGAAACTTTATAAACAGGACACATAACGTGGTGCTGAGTTTTCTTTCAGACAAAGTGCATTTCACAGAGAAGAAAATACAGCTCAAGTTGGCACTGCAGCAAGAACTCATCCAAAACCCAAACTTGCATAAAGGACATGACATACATTGGCGAGGAAGACCAGGGTAGGGGACAGCTCACAGTTCTACTGAAACAAGAAATCCTGGCCGCACTGAAATCATTGGGAACTCTGCCAGTGGCAGTAAGGGAGCCAGGTTTCACACCCATGCACTGGAGCACGGGTTTAGTGAAGCAGGGCCAAGTGTCATGCGCATCTCCACAGAGCTCCTGGAAAAGCACACCAGAAGGGATGGCAGTAGGATCCCACATGCAGAATCCAGCAAGGTCTGCTGGGAGGTGACCCGTCTTTATGAACAAAAAAACCAAGTTCTACTTTATTTTTACCTAAATCAAAAGACTCTTACAGCTCCAAGAGCAGCTTTTTCTTCTTCTCTGAAAATACCAGACACTACGAAACCTCATCACCCATCCTTTGAAACAAACACAGTTCTCTGCTACTCCTCAGATAGGTCCTTCCAGAAACAATTGCCATGTTTAATAAAATGCTTTGCAAATGCTTTGAAACACTGCTGTCTGTAGAACACACTGCACTGTCTTTCAGTGATCCAGCACTTAGTACCATCCATGTGACAGCGGGGGGAAAAAAAAAAAATGGAAAAAAAAAAAGGGGAGAGAGGGAAAGAGAGAGAAATCAATAGCTGTAGGCAAACTACTACACTGCTAAAAATGTCAGCTTAGGATAAGCTTTAAAAGCAGTCATCACACCCTATCTCAGAGCAGATAAGGGCGTGAAAAAAAAATCATTAAAAGGCAAACCATTCAAGTTACAAAAAAAATTGTTTAAAGCGTGGAAGAAATGAGGAGAGACTGTGCTTCTAATGCATTTCTGTGAAAAAGGAGCTATTTGTCTCGCTTGTGATAAGATGGTAAAACCCCCAAAGCTTGAAGATTTAGATCATCATAAAGAGTCATCAAAAAGCTTCACATTACTGGTAACGAAAATAAACATGATTAACAGATACCGAGGAACATTATCCTATGTTTTGGAAAATGGAAGCTGATAAAGAAAAAGAGCAATACTGAAAATCACCGGTCCTCCAGGTAGCCCAACACCACTGTGCTACTTCTCGAAAGCTGAGAAAATAAAAGTCTGTTGTATGATTTAAAGTCACTCACTACACAGAAGTCTCTGGCCTAGCTGTGACGTTTTTAGTTGGTCCTCAAGTTGCAAAAAAAGCTGAAACCTCTACCAACGCTGTCTAAATTATCTTGAAGCGCTGAGAACAGACGTATTGCACATATTGTGCTTGACAGCAGATCAGTGCAGATAATGAAAATAAAATTTATTTTCACCAAAAAACAAGCACCTGTTGTTGCACTTGCCACACAATCAGCTAGAGTAACATCTCCCAAACATGGACGCCTGCAAGATAAAGCTGTAAACTGACAAAGAGCGGATGGATGCGAGACAATTGAATTGGAACTTGGGTACTGAATTTTAAAAGTATTTTCATTCAGAACTCGTTGACTAAAATCAAACAGTGGTTAATATGCAGTTTAATCGCTGTCCTGAATAGTAGGAGAGGCTTTCAATAAAGACCCTCAGAAAAGCATTAAGCGGCATTCAGTGCTGATCTGCACAGTAGGGAGGAAGCAGCAGTTCTCCCTCCCAGGTTGGCACACTAGCTGCCATGAAGCTAGTAAGGGACAATGAAGTACAACACACTGATTTGCTGACTTAATTGTGACCAAGATTCAAAAACAGCAAAACAAACTTCCCCTCAAAAGAAACACGGACAGTACACAGCAAATCAAGGGCGTTTCAGAATCCTCTGTCAAAATAGAACACATCTAAGATGCAGTGCCAGAAAACGGCCAAAAAAAGTGTCAGTCTCAAGAAATGCAGCTACCCCTGCCTCACATCTCTGGCAAAAAAAATGGGAAGAAATATTTACTGGCTCTAGAGTTTCAATTTTGCCTCCAGTGCAATGAGCTGTGTAATTCCCACCAGTGCAAGTTGTCACTGAGGAGTCAGTTCAAGAACAGAGAGAACTTGTTGCTCCCAGTGAGACAACTAAAATGCCCGGTGAGATAAAAATTACAAGAAAATACCAAAGGGAGAAAAGCAAGGCAATGACAACAGAACTTTTAACATATTTTAAAATTATATTTTAAAGGAGAAGGAAGACTGAAAGCCACATAAAGGAATTATCAGAAATAACAGAAGATCGAGAAAGCTACTAAATCACCCAAATTATAATCTAAGTGATGCTTTTTTTGCACACACACAAAACCCACATCAGGTTGCCCAGGCTCCCACCTTCCCCTGCCTGAACAGATTAATATCAGCCTGCCTCAGTTCCCAAGTCACTGGCCCACAGTCAGTGTGAAGGAAGATCCCAAATCACACTTGACTATACTACGAATGTAGCCACAGAGCTGTGGTGGCTCCAGGGACGGCGGACAATCTGAGGGTGATATAGGTTGGTCACTCACAGACACAGGTCCTTGAACAAGTCATTCCCATCTCTCTTCTGCAAGCTCTCCACCCTTCCCCAGAAATTTATTAAAGCTTTGTAGCTCTCTATCACATTAGGGAACTAAGAACTGGGGAATATTTCTTTGTTCTGAGTCTATAGCTGTCTACTCATTTCTCTGCCTCCCCTGACCATTTAGATTTCCATTTTGAAAACTTCTGGACAATTCTGAGATGATACCTATAGGTATTTTTTAGTCTAAGGGACCACGATGGAACCCACATCAAAAGGAAAAGGGCTACGGGATATATATTTAATTGAAAGATTCATCATTTATTAAACAAAGATCTACATTTAAAGTTACGTTTCTTCTTAATCTAGAATTAAAGCTGTCTGGTGAATTCAGCATTCTCAGACAAGTTCCAGGAACAATTCAAGTCCCTGATATTTTAATGGTGAAGAAATCTAGTTAGGAAAACAGTGAATTTCAACTACATGAGCAGAGCCCACACAAGTAACTGCAGTGTTTACTGTGACTGTTTATAAGAAAGCAAATCAGCAGCCTCAGATTTTGTTTTCTCTTCTCCTGCTCCCATATCTTCAAGCTTCCTGAACTGTACCTTATGCATACAAACACATACTTTCATATGCAGCACTTTGTCCCAATTGTCTCACATTTCAGACAATACCTGAAGAGCTTCTTGTCCTTTCATCAACCGGATGAATTTTAGATGGCAATCATGACAGCATAAGAAATCAAATGGAGGGATTAATAATGCATTGCCTTCCATGACAACGGCAGAGCTATGCACACCTCAGGCTGTCATTACATGAGTCACTCAGCGCTCACCGCTCAACTCAGCAGCAGATGGGAGGGAGAAACTATGCAGTTCACTGAGGGCTTCTGAAAGTTGCTCTCATTTTTAGGAAACTTGTGCTCTTGTGTACAGCAATTTACAGAACAGACTTCCTAGCCTATGTAAAGTTCTTTTGTCTTCACTGGGGTTTTAGGCAGGCAAAGACAATTCTCTGAAGGAATGGGAGCCTATTAAATGCAAAAATAAAATACTGAACCACAAATCAGAAATCATAAACAACAACAACAACAACAGCAGCAGCACCCCAAAGTACCCATCACGAAGTCTCATAAAAATACTATGAGTAACAACACGCAAATCCTGCAAAGAATATAAATACACATAAATATACTCACAGCTATATTCTAGTCCAGAAATATGTAAGATGATTCCTCAGATTTTATAGATGCAAAACCAAAAGAAAATGCACACTCACATCTGCCTTCTCCTATGAGATGCACAGAGTTGAAAGAACTCAAAAGACCACTGAGAGTTGTGATAGTTACATGGTTTTAAGACAGCACATAAGATTTTTTTTTTTCCAGAGGAGTTTCATTCTTCTGAATGCAACAAGGCCCAGACACCATCTTTTATCAAATTACACAGTTACTCAGGTGATCTAACATGCTTTCTGAACACACCTGCATAAATAGCTGCTGACTGCCACATGGTACGTCACAGGAATGTCATCCACCATTGATGCTGGGAAAAAAACATCTGCACCCACTGTAATACAGCATACTCACCTACAAAATAATTTTTAAGGATGTTCACCTTCTCTGATATCTCACTATTCTTCTAAGTATCTCACTTTAGAAAGCTGTAGTCAATCCAAAGCAGCAGTAAATGAAGGCTTATTTTCTCTTTTAAAATATGGACATGAAGTGTGATCTGAAGCAGGTACTTAAGAACGATGACTGGCCTACAGAAGGCCTTAGAAGAAAGTTCTGGGCATGTTTTTTACCAATTTAACAACAATATATACCTATAACTGTTTTGCTGTCTCCTCTCTGCCTTCATACCTGAACTTACCTTGGATGATTTTTATATACTAAGCCAGTCACAGTTCTTTTCCACAAAAAAAAAATAGGTTTACCAACACTGAGTATGCTACCAGGGAATTTTGTAAAAACAAAGCAAATTTTACTTCTGAAACTACTCTTGCTTTTTAAACCTTCTCAAATGCTCTGCTTTTGGCAGCTGCAATTAGCTGCAGCAGTAAGACACTGAACCCCTAAAGTATTCTCTTTTGTGCACTCTGCTTAGCCACATACAACTTCATAAACCTCTGTTAGAACAACTTAGTGAAACCTTTCATTGCATCGGACAGATGGTGAGGTGATGCTGTTCTGCTGATACTTATGATGCTTAGAGAGAAAGCCCCACTCACTGTTCAGCACCACGACCTACCACCCTATCAGTAAGTTAAGCTGATTCCTTATTTCCACAAGCAGAAAAATACAGAGCTGATATTAATGCCTCTCCTTTATTCACCCCACCATACAGTCACAGTAAGCTAGGAAGTTAGCTTCCCACCCCTGGTGCATTTGTGCCTCTAGCAATGTCACCATGCAGTGTTTCACATACAAAAGATGACAAAGCACAGTATCAAAGGATGAGGCTGCTCAGTGGCTAAAATGACAGCAGGTCTATATTCTGGTATTCCTTTTGCAGCTTAAGCCAGCCGGCTGGCAGCTTCTGGACTTGAAACCTAAGGCACTCATAGTTCCCCAAAGCAGCAGCATGTGGTGTCAAGAAGATAAGCAGAGCTGGAGGACTGCAAACACTAGGTGACCAGTGCCTCTAGACAGACCTTCTGCGGGCATGAACCGACTGCCAGGTGCCTATCATGGTGTTCCTGAAGCTACAGACAGTGTGTATGTCAGTAAACACGTGCCTGGCAGAGGACAGTCCACCATCACCCAACGCCTGAGTGTCACTGCCAGCTGAGAAGAAACTTTCCTTTCCCAGATGGGCGCTCATCTTTTCCCTCCCCTATGCGCTTTCGTTGGTGGAACTCGGGCTACTTGTGCTGGCGACAGAACAAGCCCAACTTGGTAAGCGCAGCTATAGCTGTCCTGCTACACAGCTGTTCTGTTATCTACAGATCGGGCTCCGCGTTCACTCCCGTTCCGGGGCAAAACAAACGGCTCGAACAACAGTCTCTCCCTCCGGCTGCGAGCCCTGCGGCCGGACTGCGCTCCGGCTCCTTCCCTCAGCTCACCCCTCGGGTCCCTCCCCTCGGGCGCCCCCGAAGCCGCCACCCGTTCCTGTGGACCCGCCCCGCGCTCGGCGGGCGGGCAGGGGCGGCGGAGGAGGCCGCGGGCACCCCCAGGGGCAGCGCCCCAACCCTGCCGGGCCCGAGACCCGCCGGGGGCCGCCCCGGGGCAGCGCCCATGGCCACCCGCACCCGGGGCCGCCGCTCCGCCGGGAGGGAGCGCCCCGCGGGCCAGGCCGGGGCCGGGACGCGCCGCCTGCCCGCCGGCCGGGACTCACCTTCCCATCGGCGCCGAACGGCAGGGAGTCCTCCTCCGCCGGGGGCTGCAGCGCCCTGTCCCGGTGGGCGTCCGCCGCGCTGGGGGCTGCCGCGGCTCCGTGGGGCTGGTAGTCGGGGTAGGGGTTGGCAAAAGCCCGCTCCTCCATCTCCGCCTCGCCGCCCAGCTGCAGCTTCAGTCTCTTGGACATGCTCTCTCCCATCTCAGCCGGCCCCCCCGGCCCGCCTCCCCGCACGGCGAGCCGGCTGGGACACACTCCGCTCTGCGGAGCGGCGGCTTTGCAGCAACGCGAGCGCCGCGGCCGCCCCCGGCTACAGCTGCCCCTGGCTGCGGCCGCCGCCCGGCGGGGTCCGGCGCTGGCTCAGGGAGGGCGGCAGTGGGCCCATGGGGGCCGCCCCGGGGCAGAGGCGCCGCCGGCCCCGGCCCCGAGCCACCGAAGCCCAACTTGGGAAGGCCAAAGGGGGAAGCTGCGATGCCGCGGCTCTGCTCGGCGTCCCCGTCAGCCAGGGCGGGGGAGCGGCGAGCGCGGCGGCATCACAGCCTGTACAGGGGCAGAGCGCGGCCGGGGCCGCGGCCGGGCCCCCCCGCGGGGAGAGGCAGCCCGCCCGCCCGCGCAGGCTGGGTGGCACCGCTGCAGAGCTCGCCCCAGCGCCTCATCCTCCCCCGCCGGGGCGTCAGTGCCTCGGGCTGCTGCTGCTGCCGCCGCTGCCGCCGGCCGCACGCCGGGCGGCAGAGCAGGGCTGCCGCCGGCTCCGCTCGCCCGTCCCCCCGCGGCGGGGGCGAGCCGCCGCCCGGCGCATCTCAGAGGAGCGGCAACAGCAGCAGGAGGGGCACGGACAGCCCCAGGAGCAGGCAGTACGCCACCAGCTCCTTCGCCCGGCTCATCCGCAGCCGCCGCCGGGCCCCGCTCATCCGGCCAGCCCCGGCGGGAGGCGGCCCTCGGCTGCCGCCTGGCGGGGAGGGGGCAGGCGGCGGCGACCGCCCCTCAGCCGGCGGCGGAGGGAGGCGGCAGCTCCCGGGGGAGAAGGGAGGTGGTCTCCTTCCCTCGGCCCGCCCTCGGGCTGTAATGTTGCCTTGGCTGAAATAGAGCTCTGGCGAGGGCGAGCCAGCTGGCACAAGCGAAAACACATTAGTAGAAAAAATAAAAATATAGACGACGCCAAACAAACTCGCAGCCCTGGAGGGACCCGGTGGCGGTGGGTGGGGAAGGCCCTCAGCCACCGGCGGTAGAGGCTGGACGTGAGCGGGGGGGATCGTATCCTGCCTGGTGAAGAGCAGCGCCTCGATCCCATGTGGATCGACCTTTCGCATCCCGGTCCGGTCACGGGAGGGGGTGCTGAATGCCAAGGCAGTGAGTCAACATAAATTTAGCCCATCGTTTCATGACACCTCCACCTAAAGCTAGGAGAAGAGCTCCGGATGAAGGGGCATTGTACAATCATCAAGGATAAATTTTTCCTATTCGCAAAGCGGTGGTAGATGCTGTCGATATTGTCATAGCCGTCAGGAATTGATATTGCATACTGAAACACATTTGTGTGGAAACAGACAGCAGAAAGCCTACAATCCAGCTAAACGCTGCACAACAGTATTGTGTAAAAATAGGAATGCAGGAGACCTTGTTATCCTATTGAATATTTACTCCCAACTATGCCATTGCTTTTTGCCAGTAATTGTCAGGCAGACCATAAACTATTAAGTGAATAATTGGACACTGTGGAGACTTATTGATCTTTAGTTTTATGCAGTAATTTTATTGCTATCAAAATGCATAATCACTGTGTGAGATTAAATATAGGTGATGCACGTCCTGTCATTTGCTTCAGTTTATTGTTGTCCATAGCAATATACATGTGAATAAATAGGACATGCCCCACCATCTTGTCACAGTTTTAGTTGATACTTTCTTCATTTTATTTATTTTTATAAATTGAGCTGATGACAAAGCAGAAATTCAAAACTTGTCCGACTAGAAGTACCTTGCTCTGAAAGTGAAAATAACCGGTCGCTTAAAAATTACAGGGTCATCTATAAAATATCCTCTTCTGTTATAATTTAAAAAATTATTTTATGCATCATTTATTCTTGAATGGGGTAGCCTTTTTTGCTGTGTTGCAGTGCCTGAAAGGGTAAACACAGAACCTTTTGTAAAACATCTCATCAGACATTTTGCTGTGCAAAGAACATTTTCATCTTGAATGATTTCTTACCCTGACTGAAGACCTGCTGGATCAGTGCAAGTAACTGTATCCCCTTAGTGAAGATCAGAATTAAGCCTTAAATGAAAATGTGCATGGCTTCTGTTTTCTTACATTTTCTACTCTCCTCGAATCGAAATGGTGGGAATAATGAAACAAGATCATACTGACTGATACCTGGTCAAGACCTACAGATAAGGAGGGAAAGTGCTCTCTGGCACCTTGCAATAGCAGGTTCTTCCCTTCTCCTGGAGTGGTGGGTTGCAGGGTGGTGGGTCGGTATGTCTTCCCTTTTGCATCATTGCACTGTTTCGTTATCTGCACGCTGATGTGTTTAACATCCTGTTAAAAATTTATTTCTGGAGCGCTTCTCTCCATGTTCACCGTTCTTCCAGTTTGTTGCAATGTAGTATGTTTAGTTTCAAGCATACGTGGCCTTCTTTTGTTCTTAGAAGGTGGGATAGAGTTCAAAAGACTTTCAGGCTCTTTTTCAGTGAGTGTTTTTTCCTTCTACTCTTTTACCCTTGATGCATATGGAGCTCCCACGGCCTGGGGAATCATGGATGAAGGAGGAGGGAAAAAGTTGGGCCGAGGGAGGTATCAACCTTTAACGTAAGTTTTAAGCACTAAAAAATTCACATCTCTCATCTGTAGCAGTACGAAGCAGGAGGCTTCGCCTACTGAAATCATGATTTCTTGTGTGCTTTCATCCAGAAAATGTCTAAATGCTACTGAAAGCAGTGAGCCTTCATCCTTTCTTCCCACTCCAGCTATGCACTCCTGTAACCTGCCTTCTGCAGCATTGGCAAACATGCAGCCCTGCAGCAAGCTGATCTAGCTGAAAGCTGTCCTTTTCCTTTCTGAGATGTAGGTGAAGTCCAATTAATGTCTAACCAAGGCCTGATTCCTACTTAGAGATCAGGTTCTTCATGTAAATCATGAACGTTTTTGCTTAACAGATCAATGGGCTATTCATTCTCTACACAAGAGGAAATCATAAACCTCTCTCTTTTACTTCTTCGGACCTTTTCTTTCCTCCAATCCTTTTTACACACTGCAGTATCTGATACTGTGTTCCTGACGAGACTGGTGCCAATTCTTTTAATAGTAGAATAAAATATCTGTTACATTTTGGTCCACAGCTAAATAATCACAATCCAAACGTAAACCATTAACGAAGTTGTGCTTTCCCTCGTATTTTGCTGCTTGATTCCCAGTATGCACAGTAAATTATCCCGCTAACCATGTGGGAAAGAGCACTGTAGATCACAGAGTCAGCCCTCCCAGGGCTAACACACAGCGTGCCCTGCACACTGTGGTCCAAGAGAGCTACATCATGATGAAACATGATGCGGCTTGCAGAATGAGTGTGAGCAACTCAAGCTCTGATTGTGACATGTTTAACGGTTCCTTCAGCAGTTGCGCTCATCCTTATTACAGTATAATAGTGCTAATTTATTTTCATGCGCAATGGCTCCAGATACGTGCAAGCAACTGCCCTGTCCATGTTTTGTTCCGTGGAGCCGGAATGATGGGCGTATGACTTCAGCACTCGTGGTAAAGAGCTTTGTAAATTCTGGGAAAACAATGTAGCAGCTGGCATTACTCTAAATTCATTCCTGAACATAAAGATCCAGCTGAAATTAACTGAGAGAAGTGAGAGCTTCAGGAGTGGACGCTGCTAATGTGATACATAGTGGAGAAAAAGGCTGTGCGCTGCTCTCTTTAGTATTTACCTGTGGAAGAACAAGGTATGGCAGTTTCTCATCTGGTGTTAATTAGTACGGGAGGTTGGTGGAGACAGGGCAGTTTATACCTGCTGAGATCATATTTTTATTGAACCTAAGTCAAGTCTTTCATACTGGCTTTTGCTTTTTCTCTGCTCATCTCTTCAGACTGCTCTCTGTCTGTGCTGCATCCTTTGTGCTCTGCAGCAAGCCTTTTTCTCCCCTAATTACTGTAATAGGCCTATAATAGACTCTAAGGAAGGACTTCCTAATTCCCTCTTCACTTCCCTTTAGCTGTACTACCTAATTTCTTTTTATCTCCACGACTGTCTAATATAATATTCCGTAACTAAATTATTTAAAGCTGTTTAGGCCTAATAAACTGAGGGGAGGAGGGAACAGGGGAGGGGAGGGGCAGGCTTCTATGAACATGATATTATGAAATAAAATCTGCAGGATCAGGTTTGAATTTTAATTGCAAAAGAATTACAGGCTTTGGACTAAATTCAGTCCTGTGTTCAATTCAGCTTCAGGAGGAGTGTAAACACAATGTAAGAACTAACTGGTCTGTGTAAGACTTAACTCACACAGAGAAGTGTGAGTTATATTGCTTTTCAGTAACAACAAATTTCTCTGGCTGCTGTAAATAACTTATCTCTATCACTGCATAATATTGCTATTTAAGATCTCAGAGGTTTCTGTGAATCTAAGAATTTGTTACTCATCCACAAAATATATGTTTTAATAATAAGCCCATCTAATATATTCTCTTCTTATTTTCTGTTCTTATCTTTAGTCTTGTAGCAGCAAAAGCAGTGTCATAAAGTCTGTTGCACTTCTGCTGCTAATAAATGATAAGCCAGAACAGTAGTTATTTGCACTTCAGCATTTAAAAAGCCATACTTTTTAAAGAATGGATTTTGGTATAATAAAACATTTATGTTCCTTATACCCTTATTGCCAGTGGGTTTTGATTTGCACATCCTGAGAAATACAACTAATAATGAAGTCATGCAAAGATGCCTGTAAATGTTCTTGGAGGTCTTTAGTGTCTATGATGAAAACGGAGACAGCTCACTCTACCCCTTATAATAATTGGCCTATTATTGGATTCTCAAAGGAGTTATTTCCAACCTTGGCTAGGTTTGGAAGCCAGGAAAATAAATGTTCAGTTAGAAGAAGACAAATGTAATCCTTCTGAAGCATGAGGAACAGAGGTGAAAGATGTTAGAATATCTGCCACAGTTAGAATACCTGACCAGTATCTATAAAAATGAGCAGCAAAACAAGTGTTGGACAAGGGGATTCCCTTTGCCTAAGGAAGCTGTTGCAAGCTAGACATCTTATTTTCTTATTTCTTCTGATATCC